AACAGCTGAGGAGACTATTTCTGAAAAGTTTGTGGGTGGTTGATGTGATCTTTTAGGTTTGTGCATTTTGACAGAACTCTGTGTACTGTGTACAGTTTCCTTTCGGGGGTGGTGTGTGAGGTGGCCATTCACATAGCAGTTGGGTAAAGGGAAATGTTTTAAAATGTGATTATAAAACCACAAACACTTAGCAGAAGAATGTGGTCAGAATTAGGACCTGAAACTGCTATAGTCCCTTTCAAAAAAATAAATTTTAAGATTGTGTCCCTTAAGGTTCTCCATGATCTTAAGATAACTGTTCTATTTACCTTGTGGTAAATTGAAAGTTTATTTAGCACATGGATGTAAGTTTGATTCTCCCTATAAATTGCTCCAGCACATGAAACAATAGTGTCTGGCAGCTAGCAAAGTGTTAATGGCTATTTGTTTAAAAGGATTTCCCTAAGTATTTCTTAATATTCTACTTGAGTGCATAGAAACTCTAGCTGTTCAACATGCCTGTCCCATTAGCTATATTTACATATCTTCTATATGCCTTGGACACTGAATTTCAATGTGCCATATCTTAGCTATATTTACATATGTTCTATATGCCTTGGACACTGAATTTCAATGTGCCATATCTGTAAAAAGATCTCTGGGCTGCCAAAAGTGCAGGTCTTTTTGTGGAGCTGGGGCCCTGGGCTGCATCCATTAAAGCCCCTGCACTCTGGTCCTGGTTGGCTGAAGGGGAGAGGATGGCTGCAGTTCCATGTGCTGCTGTTTCCCAGGTCCATCCCATTAGACAGGAGCTGAAAGCAGCAGGAAGCTCTGTTTGTGTGCTTCCCTCAACTGCAGGTTTTCTTCCTACAGCTCCCATTGGCTGGGAATCATGGCCAATGGGAGCTGCAGGCGAGCACAAGGTAGGCAAGGAGCTACTTGTCCTCTCTCCTCCCTGGGACCATGCCACCAAAGGGGAGCACCCTGCACCCCAACCTCCTGCTCTGGCTTTGAGACCCCTCCAGCATCCTAAATCCCTCCCTCACCCTGCACTTCTCCCTGCATAAGCTCCCTCCCACACTTCAAGCCCCTTGGCCTCTGCCTGGAGCCCTTCCTCCACCCCAAATGACTCATCCCCAATCAGACCCCTCACCCCCTCTCTCAATCAAACCTCTGCCTCAACTCTCAGCCCCCTCCTACACTCTGAACCCCTTGTTTTTTGGCCTCACCCCAGAACCTAGTAGGCTCAGAAAAATCTAATAGCCTTGGGTCCTTGGAAGAGTTAATTGGCCCTGGTTCTGTCTTAGCAACAGTGATCAGAGACTTTGGGTATAGCACTACAGGAAAAGGCATGTAAGAAAATAGAGATCTGACCTAGTCCAGACAGATAAAAATCCTTTGCAAGAAAATTGTAAAAATGTACATGTTGGTGTCTTTCCTGCAGGTGCAGGGTATTCTCCCCTGAGGCATGGGCTGCTACACATAGGTTTTGGACTAGTGAGGGTGATTTTTTGTATTGTGTATTAACATCTATTGATATGCTGGTGCAATGTCCAGTGTGGAGGCAGTTATACAGGTAGAATTTATTCTCCTTCCCATACAGAAGTGAGCTGATGGGAGTGAGTGGGGTTCAAAAGGGGCAGTTGCTCCAGGGCCCAGTGATTGAAAAGGGCCTGGGGCTCCTAGCCGCTGCCCTTGCTACCACAGCAGAGACAGCATCTGGAGCCTCAGGCTCTTTAAATCACCACCCAAATGCTGCGCAGCATCCTCCGAGTGGCATTAAGTACTAGCAGGAGCAGGGGGTGCTGGCTGCCCCAGCCCTGCCCCTTCTGCCTGAGACTCTACCTCTTCTGGGAGCACGGACTGCATCCACACTGGGCATTGCACCAGCATATCACTCACCACAACTCCGCTTTGCCCAGGGGCCTGACAAGTCTGTTGGCAAGAGCCCAATTCTCCTCTCTGTAGTGTAGCAAATGTCCCATGAAAGTCAGTAGGCACCAATCTCTTTAACAGTTTGCAAAACATTCTTTTTTCAAGCTAGCTTGACACTACAAATTTATGCCAGCATAGCTAGGTAAATCAGGGTGAGATGCTGTGATCCCTGACCTAGCTGTGCCACCAGAAGTCCCTGCTGTAGATGCACCTCTAACAAAGCTGTGTTTTACCCATCTTTCTGTTTTACAGCTTTTGTTCAGCAATTTTACTATTTTGGTACAGAGGGCAGTTTTATCAGTAAACCTGCATCCATACTAGGAGTGCTTTGCCCATATACTGTAGGAACAGAGATATACCAATAATGCTGCTTTAGTGTGGTAATCATGGCCTCATGATTTCATGCAACATTATGTAGGTCCTGATGCTGTAGATCCTGAATAATGAACTAGTAGCTGGACCCCTATGACTGGCTGATCCAGGAGTCAGCAGCTGGTCACACAGAATTGAGATTTGGCTTGGACTATCTGTATCCTCTTTCTTCTCCATAGTGAGAAATGTCCATTTTAGATTGCATGGCCCAGACTCCTGGGCTCCTGCCAAAAACTGCTTGCTTGCTGTGGCCAAGAGCTACCTGATCTGTTTTCTTCAGCTTAAGTGTTTTTGTGCTAACCCATTCAATACTTTGGGTCTTAGAATCCCAAAATGGATATTTTGCTTCTGGAAAAATGCCAGAAGTTACTTTAGACATTTAAGGGACTTCTCTAACCCCTAAAAATTGAATAAAGGGGACAGGCCAAGCCATTATTGTCAGGATGGTACAATGAATGTTCAAAAACCTTTAAAAGCAACACTAAATTTCTGCCCTCTGTATCACTTTTCAGTCTGAGTTGGCCACCCTTATTCACACAGAGTAGTAATTTAGTCAAAGTAATCCCATACCCTAGCTTTTGTAAAGAAAACCCATGGTTTTTTTTGGTTAGGGGGTGTCAAACAGACTTTCCTGGAAAATCTTTAGATTTTTTTAGTAGAAATGGACTTGCAATTAAATGGATTTTTTAAAAATGGTTCTACCCTAAGTCCATTTTGCCTAGGTCTTGTCAAGCAACTTAACTTATACATAGGTGCAAGCTTTTTAGAGTTGTAATTGTAGGCTTATGTAATTGCCCTTTGATGCAAATAAACGAGACCAAAGCAGTGGACAATGTATTGTGGGGAACACTCCACAATGAGGATTAGATTGACCTAACTTCCTTTCCATGATTTTTCTTCTCTTGGTTTTTTTCATTAGGTGGCTATCCTGGCATCTTTTCTTCTACTTACAGACTATTTTGACTTGGCCCATTTGAACTTTCCACCTCCCATTCCAAGAATCAGTCAGATGTAAAGTACAAATCAACTAATCTAAATCTATCTCAGGACTGGCAATAGCTGAGCCACACGTGCAGTATACATGGTTAAAATAAAAATAGGATTTATTTCTGACAACCAGTTTACCAAATGTGATGGCTACTTGCTATTGTTTTCTTTCTTTTAAAAGTAACCAATTAAGGATTATATGCTGCATTCTATCCTAATGTATACTAATTACCACTTACTGGGCGTAAATCAGGGTAGAATTTTGCTCAGTTAATGACATTTCTGTATTGTGATTATAATTTAATGGGGAAATAGAATCCTAAGGAATCTTTCATTGCACCACCTACTTTCAAAGGTTTCCTCTCACAAGGGTCTTTCCTTCAGTGTGGCTCAGAAAATGCATTTGAGACACACATGCCCCCACAAGGGGAAGGTATCTACCTCCACAATGCAACAGACCGAAATAGAGATCAAAACTACTATCACAGGCTAAAGCACAGACACTAGCCTGATGTGAAATTTGGGCTGCATGACAAAACCACAAATGCAATCTTGTACATTTTAAGGCTGACTCACTAAGTAATGCCATGGATTAAACCAGAATATTTTGCTAGATACAGAGGACATCAAACTATTGTACTCTCCTATAGACTGAGAGTTCCCCTCTTCTCTTTAGGAACTGCAGTAATCCTCAGAGATAAAATAGACCAGTCATGTAAAGTTAACCAGAACTAGACGTCAGGTACTATCTGCTTTAAACTCCTGTTTCAAGAAAAGTATTCCCTAATCTCTCAGGAGTGGTGATGTTATCTTTTTAATGTAGGGTTTAAGCTCCTTTAAGTGATCTTGGGATAAATTCATCCCTAGTGTGATAGTACATTTAAACTCCTTGAAATAAATACAAAGACAAATTCACCCTGGGTCTGTACAAAAAGGTACACTTTAAAACTGAACCTTTTGGGCAAGGGGTATTTCCAAAATATGTAAGATGGCTGAACTGCTTGGAGAAGGAGAGTAGGTATCATCTTATTCATATACCTATCAGAAGCAGGACTTTAAGTGCTTTTTACCTTTTGTGAGAAGCTACAAACTACAATGTTTCATTCTGATGCTACTGCCCCAGGTGCATTGGCACTGTCATGTGCTTGTCCCTGAAGTGGCAGGCACCCATTCTCTATGGATAGAGCTCATTGGCATGCTCTTAGGACTAGCTTGTAGTTTTTGGTGCTTGCTCACCTCTAAATTTTAAATGCCCTGCAATTAGAAGTTAATTGACACGATTGTAGGTCCCATTACTGTACTTCATTATTTCAAATGGTTGAGGAACTTGAAGCATGTAGTTCTGAGACCACAGTTCAAAATTCCTGTCAGGTGAAAGACAAGCTTCCCCAAAATGCCAGGCTTGTGGAATGAGCTACCTTAAAGATTGGAAGCTTCAGGGGATAGCTGAGTTAGTCTGTACAGGATAAACTTTAAAAAAAAAAGTCTGGTAGCACTTTATAGACTAACAAAACATGTAGATGGTGGTATGAGCTTTTGGTCCTAATAGCACTAATGAAATCAGCATGCTAGCAATGGAATAGGGTGCAACTGTGTGTTCTGTAAAGCAGGACATGGCCCTTACCGTAGCTTATGCAAGATATTCTAAAACCTACAAAAATGAGCAGAAGTGTCTACTACCTTTAAAGTGATATTGCCCAGATGTTAAAGGTGAAACTAAAAAAAGCCAAGTTGTCAATTAGCTTTTATTAGAAAAGTAAAAAACCCTCTCAAAACAATACAATTGCATAGAAAATCTTGCACTTGAACATCAAGTGCATTAATGTAAACTGTCATCAATAGAAGCACTACATAAGATAGTACACAGGTTGTTTGTGAGGGTTCCTGCCCTCATCCATAGCATCACATCACATTTCCCCTCTGGCATGCAGTATTGGAGAGCTGTAGGTAGCTCCCACCAGTATTTTCTTCAAGCATATGAACTGATTACAACCCAAAAATTCTTGCTTCTACATTCACTTGAAGACTATGTATAGCTGCCCTAATGTCAGTAGTGGAGCTTATCTTTGATCAAATCACATACGGTCCCATCAGACCTTAAATTCAACCATCACTCATACACATGCACCACCCTCCCTCCACCAAAAAAAATCCATTGATTACAATGTAGGTTTTTTTAAAAGCCAGGAATAGGGGGACTGTCTACCCCCAACGCAGTCCTGCTGCTGCATCTGGCATCAGAACTGTCACAAGACTAACTGAAGAAGTCAGTACAATAAAAACCTGTTCTACAATCACTGAAAGGTTAAAGCTAGCACTCACTTGCTATCTATGCCCACTGAGTGAGGGAAGTAGAGTGCAGTTTTGTTTTCCAGTGAGCTTCATCCTTGCTTTCCCTCTCTGGACTACTTTCTTTTTGTACAATCCTGTGCCACCCTAACCTTGGTGACTAAGGAGCTGCCACATTTTAGCCAACTTATGTTCACTTTTTCAAAGCACTTAAGTTGTTGCTCCAGTTTCTCATGGTGTGCTACACCAGTTTAGAGAGTAATGATCAGTTATTCCTCTGAGGCACTTTCAGCACTCCTCTATTAGCAACTGCTCAGAGCTGTAAAGCTTCTTTTTAATGACTCTGAACCCAGTGCTCAGCTTCAGCGATTGACTAAAGCCTGGAGTGAAAGAAGTCCCAGAGCTAAAAAGGCCCTGGATTTTAGGCCATAGTCGAGAGTCCAATCTTAAAATAAGGGTCAGTTGAAAAGTAGGCACAAGATTTGGATCCACTGCAATCTGCCCCACACTGTAGCACCCCTTCCCTTGTTCAACACACAGGTCAATGAGGGCACCTCTCAGGCCACAGGGCTCGCTATAAGCCAGGTGAAGCAGCTCTTTGCTGACTTGAGTGATGAGTTGGCTTGGCATCACAAGTCTGGAGCAGCGCTTGGAATTGATGTTGGCTTTGTTCAGACTGACTTGGATTAGTTTCATGAGATTGTTACATAGGAGTTCATCTTCTGGGTCATTTAACAAGTCAAAGTCTGGAAGAGAAACTTCCTCCAGGTACTCTGCATCTGTGAATGAAAAGTCAAAGAAGGCAGATCAGTACTGGCCAGTTTATGAAGCTGGCTTTTGTTTCACAAATGCCTTAGTAAAAAGTTGCTACAAAGGACCAAAGTTAAGGAAAAGAAAACTTGTCCATTTATTAACCTAAACCATAATTTTCACAGAAAAGCTGAGCACTAAGTGAAAAAGAACAGTCTGGTGACATAGGGAGAGAAGGGCTGCTATGGTTTTATGGGACAATGTTTTGATGAAGCTTAAGCCTCTCCCATTGTGTATTTTAGCTTTACTGAATTACAGGTATGTGGTATATTCAGTTTGCTATTGCAATTGTGTTTAAAAATGTATTTACTGGACACATCGTTTAGAGGATAAAAAAAATCTTGATGGGTAATGCTGTCCTAAACTGTTCATTAGTGTAACTCAAACACCAAAGAAAATTGACTTTCAGCCCTAAAAAAAAATCTACTTACCGCCTTCGCTGCTCGAGCTGCTGTCCAGGGATTCACAATCGGAGCTCTCCGCTCTGGCACAGCGATCGGGCACCTCCTGCTGCCAGCTCTTTCTCCGGGAGAAGGGGGGTGAGGATTGGTTCTCTCTCTGCTCCGGAATGGGAGGCAGCGAGGAAGCGAAGCTGTCCCACACGCTGGGCATCGCTGCGGATGGTCAGTCACCCTGCGGAGCGGGGCCGCGGAGAGCAGCACGGAACAGATCCTGCAATGTAAGGCCAGCACAGAGCCGTCAGGAAACGCCCGGCGCTGGCGGTCAGGTGGAAAGCTCTCGACGGCAAGCTGGGGGGATTTGCACCGATGCGCCTCCGGCTAAACCACCCGTCGAGAGAATGAAAGGCAGCGGGGCCGCGAGCAGGCAGCGATACTTACAGGGCCGCGGGGTCCGGGCAGGTGGAGGAGGTAGGCGAAGTGGGGCAGGAGGCTGCGGGTGGGAGCCTACGCGCTCAGTTCCCCTTCTCGGCGCTGATGTGCCCCCAACCCTCGCTGGGCCCTTTAAATAGGCAGCTCAGGAGCGGCCGCCCCTCCCTACTGTGCCAGAAACCCAGACTCGGCCTCCCGTGCCGCAGCAACCAGTGGCGAGCCGGGAGTGTGTGTCGGGCTCGGCCAATGGCAGGCAGGCGCACGTTCGCAGCGTTCTCTCCTGCCCGGTTACAGCAGCCTGGGCTCCGCCTTCCATTGTGCGTGGAATCTGAGCTGCAAGCAGAGACCTTGGGGGTGGGGGAGGGCCTGTTTATTACAGACTCCCAGGGCTTGGTTGGACCCTGTGCACCCGAAAGGCTCGTTCACTGCTGCTTTCTGCCTGTAAAGTAAGGACTAGGTTACACAAAGTAACATTGCATTGTACTGGTAATCTGAGTCCTAGGTTCACTCTCAGACCCGGGACTATTGAGAGGCTGATGGTGATGACACGAAAAATAACTACTGCTCATTTATAGCCAATTTTAGCAATCTTAATTGTGCTCCCCACACTCCCCATTTTCATGCTGTTTCTTCTCTGCTGGATATTTTTTCCCATGAAAGATTAGTTACGGTGTGGACAATGCGGGCGGTTGGGGAGAAACGGGGGATCATAGCTAGCCATTTATGACATGACTTGGAATATCGGTTTAGGTTCTGTAACAAAGACAAGTCCTTGCTTCGTATAAAATCAGTTTCAACCCACTCCAAACTGGGAATAAAAATCTTGCTGCTACGTGTTTCTGCATGGGGGTTCGTTTTAAAAGGATGCGATGAAGTAGGATTGGTGTATAAAATCCTTTAATCGTCTCAACAGCAAAGATGCTGCAGTACATTTCATCAACTGTGTTTGTTGTAATCTTAGAAAGCGGCGAACTATGAGTTTATTTTCAGAAACCCTAGAGATTTCGCCATCCTAGCACACTATAAACATGCGGCTTTCAAACTGTACGTTGAGCTAACATCTTCCAGCCTTGGATTATTTCGTGCACAATCAAGGTCAGGACATTATTGCATGGTTTCCCTAACTTTTAGTCCTTAAAGCTCTATTGAGAAACTAGTTTATTTGCACATTCGTTACGTCAACTGATTTTTAGGAGGACGGTAAAGGAGGTCGAAAGCCTGATCATGCTATTGATCATTCGAGTCGATAAGTTCATTTGTTTGTTGCAATTCTAATTATGAGAATGCAGGCTACACGGTGAATTCTGCACGTATAAAGCTAACTCTAGGTAAACAATCCAACGCAAGTTGCAGCACAACCTCTGGGTCCTAGCGTCCGTCTTGCACTTTGGCTGCTTTGTGTAAATGACTGGGAGAATTGCATCATATGGGACGAGTTGGAGAGAAAAAGTCCCAGAGAGTGCAATAAAGCAGATCGTTTCATCAGAGAAACTAATAAGTCTACAACAGGAACAAGCAAGCGTATAACCTTTAAAATGAGGGCTTAAAATGTGATGCAGTTTAATCTTCAAGAAAACATTTTTGGGGTTTTAAAACCCAAGTATAGTGCACCCTGTGAGCTCTTTGATTATAATAATTAACTATAAGTATCTGATGTGCTAGTGTCCAATTCATCTGATGAAGTGTTTTACCCATGAATGCTCATGATTCTATATATTTGTTACTCTCTAAAGTGTCACAGCACTACTTGGCTTTTTTAAGTTATAGACTAATATTGCTATCCCTTTGAGACTTGTTAGTGTATGAGCAGTTAGCTAACTTTTCTGGACTAAAACAAGCCATGCTCCCATCTGCTGTCCTACATCTCCAGATGGGTCCATGCCAGCATATCACAAGTTGTTTAAAATGTGAAAATAAACTCTTTGAAATAAGGACTAAGTGGGGGAGCTGAAACAAAATGGAAAGGGGACAAAAACCCATTTCCACCTAAACTGTGACACAAACCACCAAATTAATATTAATAAAAAGCCCCAAAACCAAAAAAATGTGGAAAACAGTAAAACTTCTCTAAATAAATAGAAACAATTACACACCACGTACAAGTGGTGAGCTGCTACTATTTTATCTGTGCCTTTGCAAGTATGGGGGATTGCAATTCCCATTGGTTGAGAATGACGATCTGCAGCCAACAGCAGCTGCAATTCCCTGTACCTACAGAGGCGCAGGTAAATATGGTGACGGGGGGCCCACTAGGGGCTAACCTTGGTGGACTGGATCCAGTCCAGGGGATGGTATTGTCCCACCCATGATTTACACTTACCATCATTTTGAGTGGCATGCTTTAATATGTGCTGCAGTTATACTGATGTAAGTGCTAAGTTTGTTCCATCTACCAAGCTATTGCTGCTTGAGGTGTGGATTACCTACCTTTCCATTGCTATGGGAAGTGCCTGCACTATGCCATGACAGTCAGTGTGCATTAGAGACACATTCAAATGTGTGTGGGGGGGAGGGGTTGGGCAATGTGCTTAGCACAGGAATCTTCATTCTAAATCTGTTAGCAGAACACCTTTTTCCATAGGTCTATTCATGCTAGGAGATGACACACAAACTGGAGATAGCTGTTGCTCTTGACCTGTTCTCATTCACACAGCAGACCGGGGTGGGGAATCTGTAGCCCCCCCGCTTGCCTGGATCTGGCTCTCAGGGCTCCGCTCCCCCCAGCATTGAGGAGGCTTGTCCTGGCACTCCATCCTCTGCTATTCCCCCATGGGGCTGGAGCACACAAAATCTACTTATCTGAGGGTCATTGGCCCCCAACCCCAAAAAAGTTTCCCCGCCCCTGCAATAGACTATTTTTGCTGCCTCTCCACAGAGATCACCAACTCTACCAGGCTGCTAGAAGCTGAAAGTCATTTCTCCTGGATAGCTCTCTAATAGCCTCAATTAACTGATTTGGTGGTCCCTGTGCAGTTCCTTAAAGTAAAAATGCATTATAAGCATGGGCGTATTTGTCAGGCCCCAGGGACTGAATGGGAACTACAAGTCTGGTTTTGGCTAAACTGAGATGTCCGTTTTGAATACTTTTGATGATCCGTGATCTAGCACCTTCCACAAATACAGGCGATCCCCGCACTTATGATGGTTCTCCAGGAACCAATTAGGTCATAAGTTGAACTTTTTTTTTCCCCTGTAGGTATAATGATAAAAATGGGGGTTCTGTTCCTGGCCCGCTTTGCCTCCTCGGAGTTGTAGTCTGCGGCGCTAGCTGCTCCCAGAGCTGGCTGGGAGCTGTGCCAGGGGAAGGTGGCAAGTCACACTGCTCTCAGAGCCAGCTGGGGGCTGTGCTGTGGGAAGGTGGTGACTGCAGCAAGGTGATCGTATATGTGTGGGGGGGTCATATGTTGAGCAGTCATAAGTTGGGGGTTGTCTGTACTGATTTTACTGACCCATATATGCATTTTGCTGACCTTACCAGTTTTTGTTCTGGCTTAGATAAGTGCCTATCAAGTCTATATTCATCTATATAGTAATTATAGCCCTGTTACAACATTTGAGTCATAGGCCCTGCTATTTTCTGTCGCGTTAGTTATGGACTCTATAGCTGTAGAATAGCTTAGCATTGCTGAAGATGTTGACTATGTAGGCGGAAAGGGATTACGGACTGAACTCTGGTTCTCAGGTTAATGGAAATAGCATTGCAGAAGAAATCTTGGGGTTGTGGGAAAGATTATTATTAATAATAATAATTAATAATAATAATTTATTTCAGTTTATTAAAGTATGTGAAAATTGCAAGACAACCAATACTGCATTAATGCAGACCCCTTCTCCTCCATTCTGGTTTACTTCTCCCAGTTGTAACCATTCCTGCAGCAATTACAAACAACTGCTTCCATTAAATACTTTGCTTCCATTGAAAAATATTAGGAATTGCTGTTTGCTTCAGGAACATGATGTGAACCACCACAGGAGGAGTGGTTCATTGGATAGCAAATGGAAGATGAGGGGAGTCCATGAAATAGTTTCCCAATTTAGATATCCATAAATATAAAAACATTTGAGTACTACTTTTCAGTATCTTTACTGGATACCATAAAGGCATAAAACAAGGTACCAGCCATTCTATAGCATGTGAAAATGCACCAGTCTATTCTCTGTGGCTGCTCTTGACTTTAATAGTTCTGCATTGTGAAATTGACCTAAACTAATCCAAAATTGGTACCTGCAAATGCAGAAATTGCAAACAACATGCATTTAGCACTTCCATTTTCAGGATTAAATCACGTTCATTCATTGATAATTGGCAATATGTGGGCTAACACAACATGTATATGCAATAAGAGCATTTGCTTAGCTATTGCCATGTTGGGAATTTTGTATGACTGGGTATTTCCAATTGTTCCTATAGCTCCTAAAGCCATTTTGAGTTAAATTTTGAATGCCTGATCACAGTCCAGAGCTATATTTTTATTTTGAGCCTGAGGAAAATCAGCTCACTCTTTTTTTAAAGTTGCACAAGCATGGGAAGAAATTATACTGGGTCTGCATTTCTTGTTCCTGTACCTGATCCTTGTTTCATGACTTCAAAATATCTCAGACACAGACTTGTCCTGAACCAGCATTTAGTGCACTAAGCCCCAATCCTGATTGCTGATTCTCTAAACCATCCTGTTAGTCTTTAAAGTGCTGCATAGTCCTGTCTTTTGTTCTACTCAGGATTGTAAACCAAATATGGACCTCAGGGCACAGGGTCAGAGTATTAACTGTGATGGTTATAATTACACTGCACTTCTGAAAAATGACTTTTTTTTATTACATAAAAGACCATTATCCCAAATC